GGTCGACCGCAACGGTCGACCGCGAAACTCTCTGGATGGATCACGGTCGACCATCACGGTCGACCGCGGGCATATAAAGGCCAAATGCTGAAAGTTAACTTCCGGCGGTCGACCGTGGCTGTCGACCGCAAACTGATACTTGGCATTGACAGGTTTTTGGGCCAAATTTGAAAATGCATTAAAAATATTAAATCAATTCCAAAAATAATAAAACTTTGGGGAAAGTTTCTAAATGATAAAATGAGCATGTAAGAAAAGGAATTTTTGGAAAAATAATTTTTGTTTGCAAAAACACACTGTTTTTGAAAAGTGTTCGTAAAACCTGTATTTTACGAATATGAAAATTTTGATATGACTCATAAATACATATTTATATATCATGCATACATTATATATATATAAGAGTATGAAAGAGCTATTAAGTGCTCCCAAGTTCCCGTACAGTAACCATCTCAGTTCCCCCAAACCGAAGCTCCTCTCCCCTCCCCAGATCCCTCTTTCCTCTCCTGCTCACCCCTTCACGCCGACGCCTTCAGCCGTCGAGCTCGTCGTCGAGCTCCCCAAACCCTCCTCCCTCTCCCTCCGACCGACTCCGACTCCGACTCCGACCTCCTCCGCTGCTCCCTCTCATATCACCGCCAGCTCGCCGCCGGTCTTCAACCGCGTCGGAGCCTAGCCCGCGAGCCCCGTCGCCGCCAGTCTTCACCCTCGTCGGATCCAACCACAGATCGAGGTCATCTCTAAACTTTCAGCTTGATTTTGGATCCAAGGCTCTTTATAAGTTCCTGTTAATTTGTCATCAATTTTGGAAGTTCAATGATCGAAATCAAACAGATTTTCTGAGATATAGCTAATGATTTTAGGGAAGTGTATGTATATGCTATCTGGGTTGTTCCTGTCCAGTCTTTGAATATTTTGACTGCCTACAACATGGGACGTGGTCTTTGAATATTTTGTTCGTTTTATTTTATCAACTAACTGAAGAATTAATGCAGAAGAAATATTTTCCCCTGCTCAAGAAATATTTTCCCCTGCTCAACTAATTGAAAGTGTTCATGAAAAAGAAGAAATATTTTCCCCCCTGAAAACAGAACTTTTTTCCACTGCTCAAGAAAATCAGATGAAAAAATTATAAATAAAAAAATGATAATAGCACGCTAGAGGGCACTTTATGTTTCCACCCGCATGCTTTGAATTTGTGTGTTTCCAATTTAAGTCCTTGACTCCTACTTGGCGGTTTTCTCACCAACATGTGTTTGATGTCATTGCCATTTTAGCTGCCTATTATTGTAGCTAACTTGTGTGTTAACTTGTGTGTTTTCTTAATAACTTTAGTTTAGATAACTTGTGTGCTTTACAGCTGAGGCCCAAGAAGAAGGTCAAGTAGGCTGCTGATTTCTATGCTGCTCATCAACCCAACAACAGCAAGCAGCCCAACAACAGCAAGCACAACAGCAGCATCAACAACAACAGATGCCTGATAATGGCTAAAGTTAATATTAGGTTTATGTTTTTTCTGCTAACAATAGTTTGTGACTGAAGTTGTCGATATCTGTACTTTATTTTGCTCTTGTACTAGGCGCTATTTGATCTTGGGGTTGATGTTATTCTGCTAACAATAGTATTGATTCTGCTTGTAAAACCTACTTGTGTGGTGGTAATATTGACAAATATAAACTTGCTTTGGTCGTTGCGTGGAGAGATATTTACAAATCTGAGAAAAATGGGAGTCTGGGATTCTTTCATGCGGCTTACATAATTATTTGGAGTTGGGTTCATTCTATCTACTTGTGTGGTGGTAATATTGACAAATAATTATCTGAGAAAAAATGGGAGTCTTGGGATATACATTTGTAAAAAAAAAAGATTCTCTTTGGAGAAGTTGGGTTCATTCTATCTACTTCAAAAGATACTCAATTTGGCAAGTGGTATGCCTTGGAATAATATTATTTGGAGTTCTCACAACTGCCAAGGCATTGTTTTATCTCTTGGTTGGCTGCAAGGATCGATGAAACTCCTCATACAAGATAGAATGTTTAGTATGGATTTTGCTCTGCAGAATACTTACGCTCTTTGTCAGCAAGCATCTGAATGTATTGATTTTGCTATTGCTCATGACCAATTTTCAAGAAAAATTACAGAGATGGAGAAAAAACATGAGTACATCATAGCAGTTCTCACATTACAGAGGTGGAAAGTCGAAGATGAAGCGTGTAATTATTCTGTCACAAAAAATAATCACAAGTAGAAGAAACTAAACACTTCGTATAAATTCTGCATCATAGCAGTCACAGAATTCAAGTAACAGATACTAAATCAAATTCGAATATCAACCAAATAATCAACCAAATAATATCATCAAACTGTGGATCACATAATCAAACTGTGGATCACATAATCATCGGCAAAAGAAATAATATCATAAAACTGTGGATCACATAATCATAACAACGAATATCAACCACATAATCATAACAACTGAACCATTTTCACATAAACATAACTAGTTCTCACATTCATTTACAATAGGATATTTGGATACAATAGTCATTCATTAATATATTGCTCAGTCATTTGACTATAACATAGAGCAACAATATCAGTACAACGATACTTATAAATTTTAAATATAAAATTACTTCATTCAGCATTTTATTCAAAACCTCATAACTTTTTTCTAGCCTTTCCAACCTTTTTGTGATGTTCTTTGTATCTCGGGCATCCATAAAATTCTAAGCCCTTATTGCGTCCTTGCTTGCACATCGATATTCTACAAATTAACCCACAATAACATCTTCTTTGTGCTAAACCCTCATCTTCTTCTCCACTGAACTCTTCCGAAAAGTTCTTCATCTTTTATCTGTAAAAAACATACCACAAACATGAATATCAATGTAACAAGATTGTGTACGTACCCGATATCATCTACTCACAACGTAATCCAAATTATGTACATAATCTACACTCCCAAAATTCAAGGTTCATACAAATGTATATATCAGTCTATAAACAATGAAAATTCAGATTCTATGTTGAGTTTTTCGGATCTATATATTGATCATTGAATTACCAAATGCACTAAATCTTCCCTAGTGAAATATATAAGTATCAAATGCACTAAATTACTAATGCATTTAAATTGGCAAGTAAATTTATGACCAGCTAACCTAATCTTGCTGCAAATTAGGGAAAACAACTTACGATTTTCTACCAACTAACCTAATCTTGCTACAACCATATATAAATAAACAATTCCAAAAGCGTGCATGCATATCATTGTTTGTGTGCCTATAATATATCTCAGATAGTAAGAGAGCCAGAGAAAGTATTATCATTTAAACCTCAAAAAACTCAGTGAAGTTGGATTGCTCCGCTTAAGCATGTTTCAAATGAAAGAACAATTAACTTGATGTCCCAAAAATGTTGTGATTACGCCAATGATCTTATGAGGTGAATATGTGAAAGGAATTTTTCAACTTTAAATAAATATAAAGAAGTAGGCAGTCAAGGACTTCAAAGACGAATATGTGAAAGGAATTTTTCAACTTTAAATAAATATAAAGAAGTAGGCAGTCAAGGACTTCAAAGACTGGACAGGAACAACCCAGATAGCATATACATACACTTCCCAAAAAGCCGATGACTTCTTTTTCGGATCATCATAGCATTAATTCTTCAGTTAGTTGAGAAAATAAAACGGTCAAAATGTAATTTGACACTTCTCAATTCATGAACACTTTCCGATCATCATAGCAGGAAACTATAGAAAATAAAGCAAATTTTCAAATATTGACCAACATTCTGTTTGATTTCGATCGTTGAACTTCCAAAATTGATGACAAATTAACAGGAACTTATAAAGAGCCTTGGATCCAAAATCAAGCAAAAAGTTTAGAGATGACCTCGATCTGGGCTTGGATCCGACGAGGGTGAAGACTGGCGGCGACGGGGCTCGCGGGCTTGGCTCCGACGCGGGTGAAGACTGGCGGCGAGCTGGCGGCGATATGAGAGGGAGCAGCGGAGGAGGTCGGAGTCGGAGTCGGAGTCGTAGTTGGTCGGAGGGAGAGGGAGGAGGGTTTGGGGAGCTCGACGACGAGCTCGACGGCTGAAGGCGTCGGCGTGAAGGGGTGAGCAGGAGAGGAAAGAGGGATCTGGGGAGGGGAGAGGAGCTTGGGTTTTGGGGAGAGAGAGGATTGCTGTACGGGGACTTGGGAATTTGGGAGATTTAATATCCGATCCAACGACTTATGTTGAGAACGAAAATCCAATATAAGAGTATGAAAGAGCTGTAAACATGAGATAAAAGATATTGTAATGACGTTTGATGAAAAATTATTTATTTGATAGAAAACGTCAAAAATCGTGTTAAGTGTACATATATTGAGCTTAAATATAAACATACAATATATGTAAGTAAACTAAACTTATACCTAGGTAAATCCACACATATGGACTTGAATCTTTAACGCTTGAGTGTTGTGTGTTGAAATACCTGTAAAGAAAAACATAAACACAAAACTAGAGAATATATTAGCGATAAATTGTTTGACAAATCATCATCAAAACTATAGGGTCAACAGCCACATCACTAATGACAATGTTGGGGGTGGTCCCATCGTTCCTCCTCAAAATCGCTTGAAGAAAGATACAGGCGAAGATAAAAAGATCAAAGAGCTGGAGAATAAAGTCAATGCCTTAATGTCCGCTCAAGAAGTAAGGAAAACGGGCATTCCGTGCCCGTATCCAAGAGAGTAGGATTCAATCCCGTGCCCGGCGAAGTTCACCCTAATTAACTTTACGCCATTCGATGGGAGAGGCTTGCCCACTCAAAACTTGATCTATTTCAAGTCTCATTTGGGATCGATCTCCGGGAATGAACCACTGATGATTCGGTCATTTGTAAGCACCCTTCACGGAGATGCCTTCGATTGGTATTGTAGGCTGTCTAAAAATCACAATGGATAGCTAATCCCTATCAAGCCCTGATAATGGAAGTTACAA